CGGAGATGTGGCGGGCTGGGCCCGGCATTCGGAGAGCGTGGTGCAGGGTGGACTCGGGAAGTGAGGCAGGGGCGGCCTGGGAAGATGGGGGACAGGGCCTGACGGTGGAGGGGGTGGGATGGCTTCCAGTAGGTCCTCCCTCAAACCACCGACCACCAGGGCTGAGCCCCCCGACGCCTTACTTCACAGACAACGGAAACTCAGGCCCAGGGGTGAAACGCTTGGCCTGGGGTCTCACAGTGGCTCAGCAGCCGCACTGAGACCGATGGCTAAGTGACCACTGGGCACCAGCATGGCCTTAGCATCCGGGACAGCTGTGTGTACATGTGACACACTGGCTTCAGAGAAGCCTAGGAACAAACTAGAAAGCTCGTTCATCTGCGCCCCCATCCAGCCTGTAACCGAGCCCAACCACAGAAGCAGCTCAGTGGCTGGAACCACATCTTATACATCTGCTGTCCCTGTCCCTCTGCCTGTCTCCAGAGTTATTACAGAGGAGAGAAGTCACACATTAGTTCCCCTCCTGGCACAGATTTTTGGCATTTGGAGGCCTTAAGAGTTCGTCTGGTGTTAGTGTAACCTCTGCGAAAACAAACCAGAGAAGGTCAAGGAGCAGACGGCCAAGGCCAGTGGTACCGAAGCCCGCACCAAACACCGCTGCTGTCTCCTCCCACCAACTCACAGCCTCCGCGCAGGACGCGGGCTGGTCCGCGATTCCTCCCGGGTTCAGCCTCCCCCTCGAGACGCTCCTCGTGAGAGAGCTCCGTGGTCCAGAAGCGTGTGCAGTGCTGTAGGCTGCGGAGTCACCATGCTTGCTCCCAGGCTGGGGCCCCGGCAGGGGCCGCATGGAGAAGGCTGCTCTTGAAGGACACCCCCAGACGTGTCTGACCGCGGGACCTGGCCCTGCCCGTCATCTAGTAAGAAAGCCGCGGGTCCCCAAGGATGGCGCTTCGTCTAATGGGCAAGGTCCCCCTGCAGGTCAATGCTGAAGTGGGGGGGGGG